CCATACTAAAATAAAAGTAAAATAAATTAGTGCAAAGATGGACTGCACATGTACTAATTTGATTACGGTACTAAAATTGTTATGTCTAGTGCGAATTACAACATGTTTACATTCAAATAAATCAGTATCTTACAAGAATCCCAGCTATGTTAATTATATATTCCTAGGTCATATCACTGGCATTTTAAAATGAGAGAATCTTTTAGGCTTACAGTTTTTATTTTATATAATATCTCAGACTAAAGTTACGAGATCATAATTTGCATTGCTGGAATCCTTGCAAGACAGCCAATAATTTGAATATAAACGTCATATATTTTGCTCAAGAGATAAAAATTGTTGTACATTAGTGTACAGTACTGTAGTACATTTTATAAAAAAGTTTTTCCAACTGTATTTTTGGGTAGATTTACATAGATTTCTTAGTGCAAAGCTGGAGTGCACATGTACTAATTTGATTACAGTACTAAAATTGTTTTGTCTAGTGCAAATTATAGCATGTTTATATTCAAATTAATCAGTATGTTACAAGAATCCCAGCTATGTTAATTATATTCACCCAGGTCATTTCACTGGCTTTTTATAAGAGAGAAGCTTAGTCACTTAAGAACTGATAAATATACACGCGTTAGACCTGGGCCTGTGCCAACTGTCAAACATACTACCTCCCCTCCCTCCACGCCCCCTCGCTCGCTCTCTCTCCCCCATCTGCTGGCGTTGCTGGAATCCTTGTAAAACAGTGAATAATTTTAATTATAAACGTCATGTATTTTGCACAAGAGATAAAAATTAATCACCTGTATCACATTACAGTAGTGATTTAAGAGTAAAAGTGTATATGTACGTATATAGTATTCCACATACACATATGTATAAATAAAAAGTTTATGTGATGATCGGACAACGTCCATTTCGGTTAACGTCACGTTTCCAAGAACATATCTAGGACGTTAACCGGAGCATGACTGTAATTATGTTTACTAAAGACCCCTCACAAAACTTTATTCTTGAAAGTATGATTGAAATTATTATAAAATAAGAATCACAAACTAAGCAAGCCTTGTAATGCCAGGCTTACCACATGTTACTAAGGCCACATGTTTGAGAAACCAAGTGTGAATGAAATATTTTATTCAGTCTAAGTCAAACGTGCTTGACGAACGAGCGATGATTTTCTTATTTTTTATGAAACATTTCATACTTAGAAATTCAGGGGTGTATAAAATGTCATGTAGATCATTTAAATGAAAATATCGAAATAGTTGGTTATCCTGCTCCATCTCCCCTACCACCTGCACTGTCAACACGTAAAATGTCTTGTTCATACAGTTCGTGTCTTGGATCTTGAGACAAACAAATGTGGTCATTAATATGTTACTACAGTACGTAGTGCGGGTTCGTAAATCACATCTTGACTGAACCATTTTCAAACATATTTGAAGACATATGACCAGAGTTGTAAAAAGTACCGGACTTTGTTACTTAAGTAAAAGTATTGTTACATTAGCAAAATTTTACTCAAGTTGAAGTAAAGTATCCAAAGTTCAATATACTCAAGTAGAAGTAAAAAAGTATCTCCGTCATAAAGTACTCATGTACTGAAAGTAAAAAGTAAAAAAAAATAATTATTAATTGTCTCAAATATTAATATAACTCCACAGTAAATAAAAGAAAAGAAAAGAAAAGAAGTAGTTAACTAAAATAAAAATAAAACATAGCGTTACACGTGTTTACTTGTAAATCTTTCTATTAAGATTAATCAATAACTGATTCTCAAAATTATGGCTGTCCAATCAGGATCTTTTAGGCCTAAATATAAGCCCAGCATGACCTACCGAAAGAGAATACATTCAGCCGCTTTTCTTCCTACAATCCATTGCAGGGATAGTGAACAGGCTGAAAATATATCCATCCAACACCATGATCACTTGTGTCCATCAGCCCCCTACCCCATCAAATCCCTTCTCTTCTCCCCCACCTTTCCTTCAGGGGCTTGGTCTTCCTATTAGATGTCAGGTGCTCTTTACATATAAAGCCAGAATCCCTCAAACCCGGAACTCTCTGCTAGCCGGAATTGAAATTTTCTCTGAAAATCGTTCCCCAAACCATAATTTTCCGGAAAATTCTGAGAACATTTTCCCAATAACCAGAAAATTCCGGGGAGGGGGGATGAAAAGCAGGCGCAATTTCCGGAAATTCAAGAAAAAATAATTCTGTGGATGGAGAATATTTTTCCGGGTTCGAGAGATGATGTAATGGGCAATTTCTGGAAGTTCCGAGAACATTTTTCTGTTACCCGGAAAATTTCGGGGACGAGAGATTTTTTCAGGCTTTGAGAGAGTTGTCTCGTTACCCGGAAATCTCTTATTCCCGGAAGTGCTCTGCACCAATTATTCTGGCTAACGTAGATATCACTGTACAGTAACTGTATCTAAAAAGAATTTTAAAGAGGTTGTGATTATAAAATGCTTTACATAATTTCATCTTGGATATAAGCCTGTATCTATACATTATGTGTGAGACTGCGTATATTTATAAATCCTTTGAAATAACTAAATACCACTGCCTACACCCAGCACTCGCCCAATTTTATGTGGTGCGAAAAATTCAGCCACTCTTCAATTAGAATTAAAAAGTGACATCACAACAACCACACCCCAATTAAGGGGACAGTTCATGGTGAGTCTTTAGATTCATCACCATGAAGGTAACAATCATCCACAAACTCCTCAACTGAAGGAGCTTGATAGCTGCTTGGCATGCCCAGGGGATGGAATGGAGCTACTGAGGTTTTTCCCATCATTATGTGACTTATCTCTCGCCTAACACCCACTACCTGCATTTGCTGCTTGTGAGTATCTGTTTAGTCACACTGGGCCTATTATTTATTACACACCAGGGGGCAACAAGCCTCGTCACAAGACACTAATACATTGGAACTCGTGTCTCGCAGGACACGCTATGACTTGTGATAGGGAGACAATATTGATATGATTTAAGGACAATCGGAGTTAACACCTACCAAAGCGTGGGTAGCGTACAAGAATTAAATCTAAATTATTATGAATAAGTAGGTGGTGACTCTCCCTTTGGAAGGAGGTCCCTGACAGTGGAACAGTCAAGGCAATACAGTAGTGTTGAAGGGTGTTAGCATTGGGACAGTTACAGAGTTTACAGGAAGAGAAGTACAGGTCATCCCCCACCTCAGATTCATGGCAGATAGGTCTGTATCTTAACCTAATGTGAACAGAGAGAAAACATTGTGTCCGCGGACCATAAATCAACGCCAACGATACTTGTGCGGATAAGGAAAAAAGAAAGTAATCATAGTGTTGGATAAGCTTTCAGCCCGTTCAACATCCTTGCGAATGATTGTAGGAAGAAGAGCTGCATTAGCCCACACGGGCACAGGTCATTTTATAATGACCCACATCAAGGCCTGGGGGCAAAAATATAATAAAATAATAATGATGACGATGATAATACAGGGTAATAATAAAATTAATAAAAATAAATAATTATAAAAAAATATTAATACAGGTTGTACCTCTCTAGTCCGGCATTCTGTGGTCCGGAAACTCCCGTGGTCCGGAACGATTTTAGTTTGTCCAATTGGTAGGTAGGCAGGTTTTTTTTTTTTTACTTATCTGAATTATTATTATTATTATTACAGGAGTATTAAATTTTTGCCCCTCAGGCCCCAATGTGGGTCAGTGACCTATGCCCGGGTGGGCTAATCCCCGTTAAAAAAACAACAACAAAGCCGCGGGAAATTAAGGTTTGTTTACATCCGGCAATTCGGCTGCTCTCTCTCTCTCTCTATGCTTGTCTATACAGAGTACAACGTTTAACCCTTCAATATACATGAGCAGTAAATAAGTGTTGCTTTCATATTCTTATGTAGAGTAATGACGATATGTTTTCACATGTGCGCACTTACATACACACACGCAGTCTCACTTTTTTTTTTTACCATGAATGGATAGCTACTTATATTGTTCCATTTATTAACATTAAATAACATTACAGGTACTTCAAACAACCATATTAATATTTTTACATTAATTTTACTACAGATACAATCAGGGTCTTATTTTCTTCAGTTTTAAATGTAGAACCAATCAGTCACTGGTTTTGTAAGCTTTAACAAAAACAATGCCGGCAGCCGTCTCGTCTCCTCGTGTGTTTTAATATTCCACGTATTATTAATAAATTGTATTGTTAATTTTGCACACACAAACATTAATTCAATAAAAACAAATTCAGAAACATTAATTAAAATATATATGAACAGTAAATAAGAGTTGTTTTCATATTCTTATGTAAAGTAATGACGATATGTTTTCACGTGTGCGCACTTACATACATGATCTCTTTTTTTCTTTACCATTATCGTTAGCTACTTCTATTGTTCCATTTATTAACATTAAATAACATTACTTAAAACAACCATATTTATTTTACTACAGCTACAACCAACCACATTTATTTTACAACAGCTACAACCAGGGTCTTATTTTCTTCGGTTTTATATGTAGAACCAGTCAGTCACTGGTTTTGTAATCAACGAAAACAATGCTGTCTCATTTCCTCGTGTTTTAATATTCTACGTATTATTAATGAATTGTATTGCTCATTTTGCACACACAAACATTAATTCAATCAAAAAGACTTTCAGTAATAAACAATAATGAATCTTTTGTACATAAGAGAAATGACGCTGTTTACATGATTGTGCACGTCGTCTGAATGTTGGTGGGCCGTTCAAACCCGTCGAAATTCGAGTTTCCGCCGTCAAAATTTTTAAATGTGTTGTTTTTTTGTGTGTTCAAATAGAAAACGTCGAATTAAAAACTCGCGAAATTTGAGAAGCTACTGTACGACATTTAACCCTTCAATATGTCTTCAAAGAGACCATGAAGCAGAGAAAGTGGTGCTAGTGCTTCCAAGCGTAAGCACAAGTCACTATCTATCCAGGAAAAAGGTGAATTTCCATGGTCCGGAAATTTCCATGGTCCGGCACCGGTCAGGTCCCGAGGTTGCCGGACTAGAGGGGTACAACCTGTAATACGAATAAAATAATAAAATAATGAGCCATAAATAAAAAAAATTAATATGAAAAGAGAGATAGAAATGATATACCTGTACCTGTATGTATGGTATGTTGTCAAACTAAGGGAAACAAGTGAGACCCTGCAATTGTGTGTAAATGAGGCAGAAAGTCAGATTAGAAACCTGGGACTAAGTCACAATTTCTGTGGTACCATATGGCAGCAGGGTCTACCATTAGACAACTAAATTATGCTTCCAATATCTTCCCAGGTGGTACAGTAGGGTTGGGATATATCGCGAGATAGGGTCCAAGGATGTTCGCTATACGTATACTAAAGTGCGATATATAATTACATGTAATCAATGGGGAAAATAGTTAGCAGAATATAAATTGCATTGCTGGAATCCTTGCAAGACAGAGAATAATTTGAATATAGACATCATATATTTTGAACAAGAGATAAAAATTTTAGTCCTTTGTACTAAAATGTACTAAATTACAGTATTAAATTTTTGTTTATGTTTAGTGCAAATATCGCATGTTTATATTCAATTTAATAACTATCTTACAAGAATTCCAGCAATGTTAATTATATTCTCCTAAGTCAATTCATTGACATTTTATGAGAGCAAAATGTAAACTCCCCCAATACGACAGATAAATAAATACCATTAGGTAACTTTGGCCGGCTGCTGGGCTAGCTGTCATAATACACCAACTCCCCCTCCACTTCTGGCAAGATTGAAAGAGGTTTTAGGCTTAAAGTTTTTATCTTATAAAATATCACAAACTAAAGTTAGCAGAATATAAATTGCATTGCTGGAATCTTTGCAAGACAATGAATAATTTGAATATAGACATCATATATTTTGTATAAGTGATAAAATTTTTAGTCTTTTAATGTACAGTACTGTACTGTACAGTTTTTTAACTCGTATTTTGGGGGTGGGATTTTTAGGAGTGTTTCTGACTTTATACGGTTTTGGGCTTTATGTGGGGTCCCAGGAACATAACCCCACTAAGGTGTGAGTCTACTGTAAATAAATTTATGCTATGCAGTATATTGGAAAATTTCGCTAATTTTGGTAGTCGTGATAAATTTGATATATTTCCTGCCAATTTCCCTCGTGAAATAAAAAAAAATATCGCTAAACTGTATACAGGAAAATGTCGATAATTTGGGTGGCCGCGATATAAAAAATCGTTATATGAAGTCGCTATGTATCCCGACCCTACTGTAGTACCTCCCTGTTTAATAGCTATCTACTAACTATGAGTGGGATATTATTGTTTTTTTATGGACAAGGATGTGCTTTAACCTAACCTATGGAATTAATATTGTTCCAAGTTACAAACAGATTGACTTTCGAACAGGGTCCATGAACATAACCAGTTCATAGGCCCGGGACTTCCTGTATTGTACTGCACATTACAGTGACCCCTTGTTTAACGAACACCTCGGTTAACGTAATTTTGATTAACGAACTGCCTTCCATAAGGATCTTCAATTCGGTTAACGAAAAAAAATTTGGTTAACGAAGTTCTTATGAACCGACCTCAACATGCTTTCGCTTGCACTGACCGGGCAACCAGCTTTAGTATCAGTCCGCCAATACATTAATCGGTTCTAGGGCTTAAATTCCTTACTATTTTAGTAAATATCAAGAAGTTTATACTATTCAATAATTTTAAAAGTTTAATATTCAATTTTTTAGTCATTTTAACAATATTGAACATAATTGAAGATAAAGTGACTAGTTTAATGCGCGGCATCCAGCCTCTTAACACAGCAAACAGGAGTTAGTCTCTCTCTGTTTACACTGGAGGTAACATCTTGCTTGAGACTCTCTTCAACTAAACGCTTTTTTTCTGTGTTTCCAAGCAAATTATTGGTCATTTTGAAATATATTTTACATATTGACAATATATAATGCAGTGCAGTGTTGATTTAAAGAAAATAATCTTGAATTACACCAGAGAGCTAAAATTTTATGGGTGAAATGGCGCCATGGGGGTGACTTCTCTTCCACCCCAATGCCTTCTCTTCTTCCTTCTCCTTCACCCCCATTCTAAATCCCATCATCATCCAGGAGCCTTCTACATACACACCTCAAAGTAAGTGAACTTTTCTACCATTTTTGTTGAATTTAGGAAATTTTCAGTGACCTGGAACCAATTACCCAAAAACCCATTGAAACAATGGTTTCGGTTAACGAACTTTTCGGTTAACGAACGACCTTCTGGAACGGATTGAGTTCGTTAACGGAGGGGTCACTGTATTTGGGAAAAAACTCTTGGTCCTGAGATTTTTGAATTTGTGAGATTTTATTTTTTATTTCTTTACTGTACTTACAAAAAAAAATTCTTAACCTTGTTTTCAGTCATATAGTACATGAATCTCTCGACATGTGTTGCATCCTCAAATTAAATCCAACAGGCAGAGTAGACTTACTTTTCTCGAGCCTCTCCACTCTCTGTGTCTGAAGTCCATCATTTTCAGAGAGTTTAAGACCAGATGTCTGAAACATTCTATTGCCCCAGATACTGGACACAGAACGACCCACTGCAGATATCTGAATGACAAAGATTACGTAACTAATAAATCATATAAGATGAAAAATATACAAGTATTGCTGTACTGTATAACATTTCAGTTAAAATTTTAAGAAAACCTAAAACAAAAATTATTCCCTCTGTTCAACACAGTACAGTATATCTATTCTTCTCATTGATATAAAACTGATTGTGACAGAAAAATTTTAAAGAAGAGAGGAAATAATAAGTTGGAATCAGACATATATTTTTTTATTTTAACAAGGAATAGCCCACCCGGGCACAGGTTACTGACACACATCGGGGGAGGCGGGGGGGGGGAATTTAATAATCATAATAATAATAATTCGTTGTCAATAAAATTTATAATAAAATATAGAAAATAGAAAATAAACTAAAAATAAAAACACTAATAATAACAATAAATAACCACAAAGAGACAAAAATGAAAAAAAGATCAAAAGTGAGAAACAATACTGTATATGTATGTTGTGTTGTCAATAGTAAGAGAAATAATAATTGAGACCCTGCAATTGTGTGTAAATGAGGCAGAAAGTCAGATTAGAAACCTGGGACTTGGTCACAATTTTTGTGATGTCACATGGCAGCAGGGTCTACTATTAGACAATACATTATGCTTCCAATATCTTCCCAGGCGGTAGTACCTCCCTGTTTGGTAACTGCCTACTACCTACTACGTTCTACTTGTTCCCATTCTTAACTTACACACATGTTTTCCCTAATCATTAGCCATACCCTAGCTCTGATATATAGTCTGCATAGCCAAGGCGATTTCCATGAACACAAACAATAAAAATTAGCCCAATAGCCCAAGTAAAACTTCTTACAGACAAAAATAACTAAGGTATAAGAGTACATGCTTGCTATTTGTCAAACACAATGTATGTACAGAATACAGACACTCCCCGGGTTACAGAACACTTGGTTTACAGAAATTCAAGTACAGTATACAGAAGGCCTCCCATAAGTCCCATTATAAAAGTTTTGGGGTTATGCAAGATTTTTTTCCCAGCTGAGAACAGATGATCTGCCCCCTCCTAAAGAGTTACAGCTGATTGGCTGCTGTAAAGAAATCTATCATGATCTTGTTTACCAACACCTGATACACTGTCACACACTATGGGGGGCCTCTGGCTCTTCAAAAACACAATCTCTGGTTACTGCACAAAAGAGAGTTGTACGGACAATCACCTACTTGAAAAAACAGACCACACAAACGAAAAATTTGCTATATTGAAATTTTTTAAATTTGAGGATATTAACACTTACTGCTGTGCCCTCTTTGTTTACAAAGCTATCAATCACTTGCTTGACAATAATTATTTCCAGTTCCAGAATAATCAGAGATACAGCTTAAGGCACCCAGAGCTACTAAGACCACCCCCATGCGCTCCTCTCAGTCCCAGACCTCCATAAAATATTACGGTGTGAAGGTGTGGAACAACTTACCCCCACCCATCCGAGCAAAGATTAGGCTCCCTTCCTTTAAATCATCTCTAAAAAAATATCTGTCGTCGAAGTATTAATATTTCTTGTAACACTTACTATATTTACAGTACCTGCTTTTATTGTACCATCAAAACCGTTTTAGCGGAAATTATCATGTAAATAAATAAGTAATTACTAGGGCCCGGATAGTTATGCACTAAAAAACCATGAAATATGCATGCAAATATGCACTAAAACAGGGGAAATATGCATTTATATGCACTAAAAAATATCGCTTATAAAGCCAAGAATGCAGGTTATACGGAAACAAAATAGTTAATATAAACTAATGTTAATGTTTATTAAGCAATATACGTAATGTATTTAACATATATATGTGAAAGTGCTTCAAAAAATATATATGAACATGTATTTACATTATAGACTGACATATTTTCAGACATTACAGATTGTGGTTGCATTTGATGATGACATGGTGGCGTAAGTTCTCAAAGTTAAAATCCCGCCTGTTGTCTGTCAGCATAGCTTTATATTCTGAGAACACCCTTTCTACATCACACGAGACGATTGGTGCATGTTTCATACATAGGAGGTCTGACATAGTGAGTGGCTGTACCGTCTCGTCAATAATAGCATCACCAGACAGTATCTGACTGACTTTTTTCACTTCCATCAGTAGTAAATGCATCAAATTCCTTTACATATGATCTCAGCACTTCATTTTGGTTTCTTTGTACTTTCGGCATTTTCACGAGCAGCAGAACAGAGTAGCTCCACACAGCAGCACTGCTCCTGACTGACTAACTCACTAGTCCAATGAGTCATGACCAGGTGTGGAAACGACAGATTAAAGCGACGTGACCTCACGTCACTTCACCTAACCACACCTCACCTCACCTCCCAGTACCACGTGTGCTCATTCAGTGGCAACAAAGAGATACTGCCAGATGAATATTTTACCAAAATATGCATTTATATGCAGTTATCTAGGTAATATGCACTTATCATAGAAATCACGCAAAATATGCATTTGCATATGAAATATGCAAATGCATAACTATCCGGGCCCTAGTAATTACCATTGCAATAAACATAATTGCCAACTAGACATAATCCTGGCAGCTGTCCTCTTGTTCAACCTTATTACTGTACAACCCAGGTTGTACTGCTCCCCCATTATACTTATGTTTTTCAATTCCACTGTCATATATATATATATATATATATATATATATATATATATATATATATATATATATATATATATATATATATATATATATATATATATATATATATATATATATATATATATATATATATATATTATATATATATATACTATATATATATATATATATATATATATATATATATATATATATATATATATATATATATATATATATATATATATATATATATATATATATATATATATATATATATATATATATATATATATATATATATATATATATATATATATATATATATATATATATATATATACACAATCAACACCTCAACCCGCCAGGATTCAACCCACGCCCACAAGCCTATGACTGTGACTGGGAACGCTAACTGGCTGACCACCAGGATACTAAAAGCAGTCATAGACTTTGTTATATTTCACACAAAGCCTGTTCAATGAGCTGCGTGAACCTCTAATGGGACCACCCGTATCACTTAGGTGGTCAGAGTAACGTTTTACCAAATCCGCTCAAACACGAGGATTCATTAGCACTGGGTCACGCCAACCCGCCAGGTGATTCGAACCCACGACCACAAGCCTTGATCGTACCGGGAACGCGAACCGCTCACCACCTAAGGATAATTGGTGGTCCCCATTAGAGGTTCACGCCATAAGCTCTGTTGAACAGGCTTGTGAATATAACAAAGTCTAGGACTGCTTTATCCTGGTGGTCTCAGCGGTTAGCGTGCCTCGTCACAGTCATAGGCTTGTGGGCGTGGGTTCAACCTGGCGGGTTGAGGTGTTGATTGTGTGAAGTCCGCGTGCTTTATTGCTAATGAAAAAAAAAAAAAAAAATATATATATATATATATATATATATATATATATATATATATATATATATATATATATATATATATATATAATATATATATATATATATATATATATATATATATATATATATAATATATATATATATATATATATATATATATATATATATATATATATATATATATATTGATAAAATCACACGGAAAAGGAAACAACAGACATTCTTAGTTGGGTTTTATTCAAGACATCTTCAGAGGCAACTGGATTACATGGACAGAGAGAGGCTTAAATATACAGGGTGACCTTAAAAACATGAGGTGGATCTACATGAAATATATATATATATATATATATATATATATATATATATATATATATATATATATATATATATATATATATATATATATATATATATATATATATATATATATATATATATATATATATATATATATATATATATATATTATATATATATATATATATATTGTTGTACCCCACTTAACACGGTCAATAAAACCCAGAGGGTACTGTGTTAAGTGAAAACCGCGCTAAGTGAACAACAGAACATATGGGATTAATTCCAATAGAAACTGGCCCATCCCCAAACTCCACTTTTTCCGACACAATACCTATGTTCTAATAAAAATAACATCTTAATTTTATGATGGTACATGCACACAATTAATACTTAAGAGAAATAGAGAAATACAGTGCCAAGTTAATGTCCATTCAAATAATGGACTCAACTCCCTCCCCCTCTTCTCACACAACACTGCTGGTTCTTCCCTCTCTGAGAAATTTTTGGGGGGAAACCACTAAATTTTAATAAATAATACCTCAAACTAAAGTTAGGATAATACAATTGACATTGCTGGATTCCTTGTAAGACCAGGAATATTTTGAATGCAAATGTCATATATTTTGCACAAAAAATAACATATTTACTCAGAGTAAACTTTATATCTAAAATTTGTATGTCTAATGCAAAATCTATATGTTTATATTCAAAATGATCACCAAATTGTAAGAATTCCAGCAATGTAAATTATATTCTGGCCGGGTAATTTGTATGAATTTTATGAGCTAAAACAAATATCTTCAGTTAATAAAAAAAAAAATATTCTTCACAACACTATCTGTCAATCAAAGTACCCCAACTTGCCTCCCCCCCTCTTCCAACCGCGTGGTCAGTCCCAACCCTCCACCAATCCTCCCTTCAAGAGTTTTTAACATTTAGTATTAAATAATACCTCAGATTAAAGTTAGGATAATATAATTGACATTGCTGGATTCCTTGAAAGCCCAAGAATATTTTGAATACAAATGTCATATATTTTGCACAAAAAATAACATATTTACTCAGAATAAACTTTATATCTAAAATTTGTATGTCTAATGCAAAATCTATGATGTTTATATTCAAAATGATCATCAAATTATAAGAATTCCAGCAATGTAAATTATATTCTGACCGGGTAATTTGTATGAATTTTATGAGCTAAAACAAATATC